GGCAATTTTAACTAGAATTGTAAGTTTTATGAACAGATGCAAGGACTTGCGATGATAGCTTGCTTAGCTTCATCTCTGCGAACAACTATATGGCAAAACTTGGGCAATATTATTTGGAAGAGACAAAACGTATCCTTAAATTGTGTGTTAGATACACGGATGACTATTATACCATCGTGCCCCATGATAAGGAAAGTCTGAATAGTTTCACACTTTCATATAAGCAACGTAAAAGGAATATTAGGTTCAAAATGGAAATTGAAGATAATAGATCCTTGCTCATTTAGGATGCTCTGACCATTCGATAATAGGTTAAGTAAGAAAGAGATGTTTAGAGGAAACTAACGTATGCTGGCTATTTTCTGAATTTTCTTTCCAGCAATAGTCACATAACTTCTATTAAAATTGTGAAGTCAATGATTATTAGGTTTATGCGACTAACGGATAACCGTTTGACGGCTAAAAGATTTATTCCTGGAAAATAATTATCCTTTGGGCACAATTGATAATATCTCCTAGGTGAGGAATAGCTTTTCAGGTGGAGATCTCTGCTCGTCCTAATTTCACCGTCGTGCCTTCTTTATAGAAAGATGAGAGAAGTGGGGAATAAAATCAGTGTTCAAAGAAACCCTTACATTTTATTCGGTTATTACATCCTTTAGATAAAAGTCAGACCCATCATCGAGATCCGGCAGCTACGAAATTGAGGTAACATATAGCCGGATAGTCTCTTGACTCAGTGTTAACCTGAGAACTTTACAAGAATGAGTTCCATCTCTGATGATGTCAATCATATGACAAACGAAAGCTCAGCCTTTTTTCTCTCGAAACGAGGGAGGATATCTCGTGGACCTCGCCAACCTAAACATCGTATTTTCTGACTTATCTGAAAATTAAATCTATGTAAAAATAACGTGGAATGAAATCGCTCAATGAAAATAAGATCTGGCGAGTTTAAGTTAAAATAAGACCAATGAAATTAAAACAAATAAACGAGAAGCCAAAATTCTCTGCCACACAAATAAATTACATACTTTACGCTTCCTAGTAGCTAAAATTTGGAAGGGCAAAATCCGACCTGCTGCACGGTCCCAGGCCACAGCTTCGGAGTCGATTATGCATGAGGTAATTGGAATACGTCCGGAGATATCTTCATTATCCAAAGATTCGTTGCCACAGATCGATTCAGAAGACTTCTTGGTCTTGCAATGACTCGAATGAGTCAATAAGGAAGCGTCAGTAACCCGAAGGAGGCGACGATTCGCCTGCGTTGAAAGAAATGCAATTTTGAGGGCAGCTGGTATCAAGGTATTAACGATGTCAGGAAACTTAGAGGTATTATTCTCTTGGTTACGCGAGTAGACTCGTATACTGCCATCAGGGAGTACATGAATCTAAGAGAGAAGTTGAAAAGAGGAAAAAGGTCGAACAATAAGGTGAGTATGGACATGCTTTAAAGAGCTATTCGAAACTCAAGTAAAATAATGCGACTATAATAAGTGGCGTATTAAAATAAAGCCCTTTCTAACAACAGTTAAAACGACATCTATAATAGTTATTACTGAAAATAAGCGATAGAGATTATATGTTATAGGCAAAATTGTTTAAAACCGGTAAGTTCGAAAAAAAGTATATTATTCTCCACTTTGACCTTAATTCAGAGTATCTAAGAAACGGCAAAGGCAAAAATAAGGTATTTAGGACGCTATAGAACCAGACTATCCTGAATTGATAACAAATCTGTACGGAGTTCAGCCATGGATTTAATTAATGTCTGCAGAGAACTACTTGAAAAGTCAGTCTCAATCGCAAAAAGTCCTTGTTAATCTGGAGAATAACTGATTGATAAAATTGCTAAGTAGTTTATAAGATAATCAGAGAATTCAGCATACCTGAAGACATTCGTCTGTTCTGGTATAAACTAGAACAATATTCAGCAGATTTATCAAAAACTTTTCCATAAGTAGGAGACTAATAGGGCCAACAAAATCGGTTTATTTTCTCTAAGATCTCCACTGATAACCAGATTCATGGCCTCAGACATAGATTGATGACAACGACCTATATAGAAGAGTATACTCATCTCAATTCAAGAGAAACTGAATTTTATCGATAGCCTGATTGAGGGTGATAAAAGCATATAAACTGAAAGCCAGTTTAAAGAAACATGAGAATTACAAAGCACCTAGGTCAAGGATAAACAAATTTACATCATAACCCCTTTACAAACAGGAAGCAATTACGTTGGGGAGATAAATGCCTATAATACAGTGCAGCATCATAAATTGAGAATTGGCACAATATACATTCATAGCAGAGTATCATTATACTGGTATCTTAAAAACAGCCAATTAAAAAAAA